CTCAGTAATGATGCAACTATTAGTAAGAGCTGAGCTTGTCTTAAGTGGCTGGAGATGTGTGTGTGAGTGTGTGTTTGTATTTGATGTGTGCAGATGCTGATGAAGCCAACTACAATCCACTATCTTAAGGTGGTTTAGCTTCAGGAGTCCAGGGAGTTCTGCTGTTGTTCCTCCAAAGTTATATTTTAACCTCGTGAGACTGCTAACAAGCGTGCTATACTGTACACTAGTTGTCATGGTTACATCGTCATGCAATGTCACATCGCATGTGCTCATACAATAAGAGAAGGGAACTCTCCTGTCAAATGTGTAATGTAAACGGAGACTTCAAAATGATAATCCTGTGGGAAATCCTTAAAATAAGCATAATCTGTTTCTGTCTTGGTAGATAAATTTATGTCATGTACGGGGATGCACTGATTGTGAAATTCTGCACCAGTACCAATGTTTAAAATAACAATTTGGATGAGAGCAGATACAAATTTTGTTTTGTGCCAGGGAGACAAAGAAATCTTAATTATAAAAACAAACTGAACTGTTTTGAAGTAATTCAGTCTCTCATTACATTATCTTAACATGAGCACAAATTCAGTTATACATATTTATAGTGACCTTTAACATTGCCTTCTTTCACATGAAAAACATTTTAAAAAAACAGCTGCTTCAAAAGCCTTTTTTACTGTAATATAAATAACTCCCTCTCTAGTATGTATTCTATAATGCTGTCAAAGCATCAACAAATTTCTCCTTCTAACAACTCTATTTATTCAAGTTTCTTGCCAGAAACTACATTTTACAAGATTACATTTGAACACATCATTAGAATATTATAAGTAACCTTCACCTAACATTCATTTTTACTGAAAAGAGCTTGAACGCATTATAATGTAACTTAAGGCAACCTCTGTTAGCAGTTAGTTCTCGCCACCAGCTGCTAACAGCTAACATTAAGTAGCTCTCCTCCGGATATGTTGTTCACAATGTAACATTATCACTTATCGTCGATAGTGAGTTTGCTGCGTCCTTCCCACCTGACGCGTCCAGGGAAAGATGTCTGTTTGTCCTAAACACGTTTTCTGTTGTCCCTGGATGACGGGAAGCCATTAATCTCGAGTCCTGCTTTTTAGCATTTAGCAAAATTGACGTGAAACAATAGAAGACTGGCAGTGAATGGCATCATCTTTGCTGATAGCTGACGGCAGTCAACAAGGTGAATATTGGCTGATACCAATGTGCGCTGCATTCCTGGAATATATATATACTACTAACTATTATTTTCTGAAATCAGTGAGACAGGGCTTTAATTCCTTTCACACAAAACTGTTGCTCAGCAACGACAGGTAATAGCCTACTATTAAATAGTCTTTTTAAACCAATATAATATTACTTGTACAAAAATTAGGCTTCGAATAACATATTTTCAAATCATTAGATTTAGCTCCAATAGACGGTGCATCATACGGAGAGAGGTACGATACTTGTCATATTGGCAGCCAAGGATTACAGCACCTGGCATACCGACACAACACTACTTTATCCTGTTAATATATATTGATATTTGCAACTTGTATTCATTTTTATGAAAACCCTTTTGATTCTTTTGATCAGTGGACCCTTACTGACTAAAGGAATATGAATAACTTACTGGGTTATCAAGGAACGGATACATATTCTAACTTGATGACCGCTTCAGTGGTAGTGAGTCACCACTTTTTTTTTTTCGTCTCTTTTGTTTACTATGCCAGTAAATCTGAATGAATTAGTTTTTGGTGCTCATGGTTTCAGTAAATCAAGTGGGTAGCCAACAACCTGGTTTTATACATCCAACTTCTATAACAAAACCAGACCAGGCTTGTAATTGAGACAGGCCTTTATTTGTCAAAATGTGTAGCCACATCGGGCTAGTAAAAGGAACCAGGCTTATAAATGGGACTAGACTTTTAATTGAGGTTTTACAGTGAATATTATTTGTACTATGGAGCTGAGATTGTGATTGTTGCTGGTATAGCTATTTTGCTAGTGTTGTCCAAGAATGAACAGAGGCTGAGACACACACAAAGAGACTGGTGCTGTGTTAGTTTTGGTGCATGTTCGATGTGAGATTAATCGACATATTTGTTAAGGCAACCATTTTAAAATGGTGAACAGTACTGAGTACAATTTGTAACCAGTTGTACAAAAACAAAATCAGAAAAACAACAGTGACACAAGATGGATTATCTAAATGGATTCAAAAAGTGTTTTGCAGTGAGCAGTGATTTCTGCTTCCATTTTGCATCTGGCAGATTGTCATCTCTGCTTTTGTTTTAGTTTTTCCTGCCATTCGCTTTTTACACAGAAACAATCTGCCCACCCAATTGTTTGCATCCTTCTAGCAACAGGCAACCAATATTAGCCAATACATCTCCGGGTTTTGAATGCCACAGTGGGTTTTGACTGCTCGAAGCAACACAAAACACTCTTGTTTTGCTCGAGCACCTGATTGACAATGGCTTTAGCTCGACATTTTCTTCTCCACTGGCACAGGCTGCATCCGTTGCGGAGCACATTTCCCCCAATGAGTTTGATTATTGCAAGGCTGGGACTAGGGAGTGTGTATGCTTAAGGACAATTTGTGCCTCTAGCATTCGCTGTAATTCTGTTGACAATGTTTGATGTCTTTCGGGCAATTTGCCGTAAGAAGCTCGAGAGACATTTGTGGCCAGAGGACATGCGACTGATTGTCTGTGCTCCTGGTAACATAGGCTGTCTGTATTTTACTGAGTGACGTCTCCACATAGGAGCTTGGCAGGGAAGCCTTTGTGGCATTATTATATCAATACATATAGGCTATAGCAAACGTATTGACCTCCCAGTCTATTCTATTTTTTTTTTCCTCTCCCGACTGGCTGCTGCTGTAAAAGAATTTGATTGATTGTAGCTGTAAGAGAGCAAGAAGCATCATACGGCCTGAAGGAGAAGCTCCTCTTGTTTTCTGCAGATCCCCGATGGTGATGATCATTACCACCCATTAAGGCATTGTGTCAAATGATGGCACCTGGGCTGAAAACAAGGGACTTTTTCCTTTTTTTTTTTTGGGGGGGGGGGGGGGGGTGCACATTGTCACAGCTGCTGCTCCTTCACTGGTTCAGTTGGGGGACTAGGAAGTTCAGGGAAGCGAAATTTGTCATGATAGCCAGGCCAACATACCGGGTAAATGTTATCCTTGTTAAAGTATGTTTCAGTCGCTGTCAGCACTGGGGGTTACAGTCTGTCCTGAGAGTAGCTGCAACAGCTGCAATTTGGGAGGAGATTTGAGGCACTTTGACAGAATGTTTCTATTAAACTGAAGTATAGAGGCACTTAAGCTGTAATCTACAATTTTGAGTGTATTTGATTTTTGAAATTATTGTTGTATTTACAGCCTATTGATCTTGGATGAAAAATTTGATTTGATTTTTTTTCTGGAAAGATGTGTTTAAATTTTCAATGATGGTTTTCAATTCGGTGCCTTTTTTCTAAATTATTCCTTACATGACAACTACAATATGGTTAAAGGTACACTATGCAGGAATTGTGGGTTGGTGTTTGTAAACCGTATCGCCAGTGAAAGTGAAAGCAAACCCTAGGTTTTCTGTATCCTCCTGAAACCATCGTCATTTGAGGACATCACATTTTGGATTTACTGGACCTTTTGGACCATTTCATTGCTATTCTGTTGCTAGGGCAACAACTTTGGTCCCTGTTTACTTTCTGTCAGCTTCTGCATTAACATACATTCAAACAGGAAATACAAAGGGACCCATTTAGAATGTTTATGTTGTCCAGTTTGAAACAGTCTATACTTCCCTCTGCTCAATTTAGACCTGCTGTCCTAGTTTGTGGACACCATCTAGTGGTAGTAAGATCACACTGCACTAATCCATGTAAAAACAAGATGGCAGCCCAATCTGCCAAGTCAGTCTGCAGCCACAAAAGTGGACACGGTACAAAACCTGATTAAAGTTAATGGTCGGAACTTGTTTATTTATGATGAATAATGCTTGTAGATTGATATGCCGTACAAACTTTACCAATTTTAGCAATGGTAACAAGCTAAGACGCTGTTAATAAGAAATTACTAGTTTGAAGACCTTGAGACATTATTATCGTCTCGTTTGAGGACTTAATTATTATTGACAATGTTTAGTTTTTTGCACCAATCAGGTCCTACTAATCCCAAATAGCTAGGAGAAAATCAAATGCATACCAAACAAAAGTGCAGGTCTCAGGAGGATATTCTGTGCTATGTCCGACGTTTTCATAGCTTTCTCTTGAATGCATCTGCTTATGGTCTGGTACCTGGTCCCTGCCTTTTTATGAAGTCCTGACCTCATCTGAGCGCTGTGCCCTGGAACGTCCCGAACGCAGCGAAATAAGAAGAACATACAGACAGAGGGCAGAGTCTCTGCAGATAAATGCACTGCCACACACTTCTAGTGGGTCATATATGTAGAAGGCGAGAGGGATTACTGTGCATGATTCTGTATACTTTGTCTTTTTAGACAAAACCTGCATATTGTACTTTTTTAGTGCAGACTTTTGTAAACTGCAGTATTTTGACATCATCACAATCCTGCTGAAAGTTGACAAGAGATAATATTGAGTTATTGCTAAGCCCCAGGAGATAGGGGATGAACCCCAGTGTGCGGTGTCAAAGCTGGACACAGTACACACCCATCCATCACCCCAACCCTCCCATTCTCACATTTTGCAAAGCTGCATTGAGTGCACACGTCTCTCTGCATTTACATTAAATTGCAAATCTAATATATTGTGCAGAAATCAGAACAGAATTTCTAGGCAGACTGGATTTTGTGATCATTTTTAACTATTTTCTGTCTAAATCTCCCACTGTGTTGCCAACTTCAGCAGTGTACATTTTCTCTTTTAATAGATTGTCGAATAAGTATTTATTCAGGCTGTAAATGAAACTTTTCTTCCCCTGTGGATTTTGTCACCTCTGTGTCTGCCTCCCACAGTTGCACCGGGTGGCCAACCTCACCATGCTGGAGACGGGCACCAAGGGAGCACAGGCGTAATGAGGGAGAGGAGGGCAGCCGGTGACCCCTACTGGTCCTATTCAGGTGAGCTCTCATTTGTTCACTGACCAAAGCCTTCAGTAGGAGGGGAAATGCATTTCTTTGACTTGTTCACCTCGGCTCTATCTTGCCCATCATTTTTCCTATTTTTCTCTACCATTTTGCCGGAAACCCCTATTTTTCTCCACATTGCTGCAGCCAGAAGGGCTTAACTGGCATTTATATAATAGTATACGTTTACCGTATGTTTTCATTGCTCCTAATAACTCTAATTAAACTAATGCGCTGGAGAGAAGAAAACACTGACAAATGGCAAAGTGAGTTGATGTTCAGGCCATTGTAGCCTACTGTAATTAACAACAAATGATTAAAGTTGATTAAAATGTACTTATTTGTTATCAGGTCTGAATCAGACACACAATTTGTGTGGACTGAAATGCGTGACGATCAATTCATGCGCAAGTAATTTAATAAAAGCAATTAGTCGTGAACTAATATTCTTCAAAAAGTGATGGGTACAAATATGAAAGTCAGACACACAGCATAAAGGGCAACTTTGACCTCTAGCATGTCGCATTTAGTTGTGCACTTGGCAGCTGTCTTCAAGCCGACCTCCATTTGCAGTGATGTATATTGTATCAGAAATACATCAGGCCTGGCTGTGACAGTCGAGCTAGATTAGTTGTTTTAATTCCTGCCTCTGTTATTAATAATATGCGTGCTTTTAATGCAAGTGTGAATTTAGGCTCTCCTCCTCTAATCTCTCAGCCTTCTACCTTAACAAACTGGAAAGACAGACGAATGTGGCAGCCCAGAGTGAACAGTCAGATGTACGCTCTAATGGATGATTCATTATGTACCTTTTTTATGCTTGTAAATATTCTCAGAGTATGTGTTTGCCTATGTGTGTTTCTAAAGTTGAGGTGTGCTTTTCAAGTGAAAAACGGCAAATTGATGTGTAAACACTGAGGTCTTTAAGTGGCAGTGGCTGAGTTATAAGCTTTAGAATTTTTTTTTTTTGATGTCTACGAAAAACATTTAGCAAATTAGCAAAAGAAATATGAAAATGTTTTTTGGTAATAGGTAACTGTGAGAGGCATTTTGTATACACAGTTTATACAGCAATTATTATTTTTATATCTTCAGTCTGACACTCTAAAGGCGTCCAACATGCAAGTTTTGTATCCACCCACTTATGTATTGAATATTTAGATACCACAGAGGCTCTTCCTGCATTATAACTCCTTCTATGTTAAATAGTATGATGCTGTCTTACATGTTTATGCAGGCGTATGCAGACCACGATATGCGTTTTTTTTGGGGGGTGGCACAGAACAGTTCTGATAAGCACACATAAATTTTCTTTAGGAGCGCTGCTTCACATTCAACTATACACATTCACACAGTGCAAACACAGCCCTCAGTTGGCCATAGAGCAGCTCTGGTGGGAAATAGGGGTTATGTGCTTTGATCGAGGGCACCTCACTGGAAGAGCTCAGGAAGGGAGGAGCAGTCAGTAAAATTATATTTACAGGTTCCAAGGTCCAAAAACACCCCCTAGCAAATAACTGACTCGGTCCCTCTGCTCTCGGAGTGAATCATAGCTCTGAAAATTATTATACTGATGGAATATTTTGTCTTTGGCACCGCTGTTCCCATGGTTTTAGGCGAGGAAATGCAAACAGGAGAAGAGTGCAAACAGCGAAAGGTTTATGTTAACATTTATTTATTTATTTTTTCATAAAAGCATATGAATTTTTTTTCATAATATCGGTGGTTGATGTCCCACCACTGCTATGAAACCCTGTGGGAAACCATAGGTGCATCATACTTCTATCCATCTTCATTGCACTCCTTGCATCGTAGCTGCCCTTACGTGCAGATCTCTGATTTAGGTTAGGATAAAGCAAATTCAACATTCCCAGGATATCTTTTAGTTTTCCCGTTTCACTAGCCTTAACATTGGCCTCCTGGATTACCAGTAACACAGAGCTAGTTATCAAATAGCTCAGTCAACTGTTTTTCTATCATGAGAAAGAGGTGGGGTAGTTAATTATGAACAGCATAATCAGAACCATGAACGCAGCACTTCATGTGATATGAGATGAAACGGTGAGACTAATTACCTGTCAGTAATTCTGTTTTGGGGACAGCAAAAAGTCATCGCAGTGAAATGTAAATGATAGCCTATAATCTTACAACAGAATAAGAAGAAACACAAAATAAATAATTTCCAAATGTTAAAAGTAGGTATAGTTATTATTATATGACTGAAGTATAGAGTGATGTGATGAAGAGAATGATAAAGAAATTACTCTGAATATGTCAAATAAAAACACTTATTCCCAGACTGTTTCTGCTACCAAAGTAAAGCACTTTTGCATTTATAATCACAGGAGACAATTAACAGCGTTTGGATTATTTTTCTAATAAAAGACAGTCTTGTGTTTTTGTTTCCAGTTCATCACACAGGTGTCACATGTTGCTCTGAGCTGTAGTGATGGAATCAAAGTGTGAAATCAGCCACACTGTCAGCTATCACTCCAGGGATAAAATAAACTTTGCATAATTAAAATGCAGCTAAAACCACCATTATGTGTTCAGTTTTGTAGACTATGTTTTTGTTTTGTGAGAAGCTCTGCTATAAAACTAGAGTAGAAAAAAGAAAGCCTGGAACATTAAATTGATTCTGCTGACCTATAAAAATATATATACTCCTTTTTTCCAGCAATCTGATTCGTTAGTGATTTGATCCTCTTAGTTTAGCTGTGCAGTGTGAGTTACTACAGTGATTTTTTCCCTGCGAGAAGTGAACCAGCCTCGTAGTACAGAAACCAGGGTTAACCCTGATGTTACCTCGCTAACCCCAAATCCTGCCTCGTAGCACAAGCCTCTGATCTTCTTCACGGCGGTGTGTGCTTTGTTTTCTAATTGAGACATCAGGCTTGATTTAGACCTGGCACATTTCTTTGCTCAGTTAAATTCTAGCACCGTGTGTCTTTTTATTTTTTGACAGATTGTTATGTATATTTATGTAAACAGTCGGAGATGCAGGCTGTTTCAATACTTGCTAATATTCTGCAACTGTTGTGGGCAAACATTCAGCTTTGTGTTGGTGTGCTGAGTTGTCTGAATGCTGAGCGACAGGCAGGCTCATCCACACTCTCTATGTGAAAAGCTCAAACATTAAGAGATCCTATCTCCTCCCAATTACCAAACATCGGGTTAGGGAACTGGCTGACATGGCTTGATTTTGGACATTCATTTCAGGCCCGTGCTGAGCACTAATTCCTACCAGTGAAGGCAGCTGGCTGGTTGTACTGAGAAAAAGGGAAGCATTGAGGGAACACAGAAATGTCCATTGCTTTGGAAAGGTAATTAGTGTCTAAGGCTGTGAATGGGGGACAGACAAGCGTGCCTTAGCAGCTAAATGGTTATTAAGGGCATTTGCTCTGTGCAAGTGAGTGTAAAAGAAATGCACACAGTAGAGTTAGCCTGAAGCTAGAAGGTACTAGTGCAAGACAGACCTCGGCTCTGTGGGCTAGACACACGCACAGTACATAACATATAGAGGAGTATAGCAGCCATTGTTTCACACCGACTCTCCACACCCTTCGCTGTGTATCCTCCAGTCTACAGACTTCTGCAGGAAGGAGCTGTTTGAAGAATGTGGAACAATATGAGTCTCTGAAACTGGAGCAGCAGCAAAAACAATTGAGTAACAATCTAGAGTGTTTCTTGAATCCTCAGCATTGTTCAGATCAGATTTATCAGTTGTAAGAATTTAAATGTGCCCTATATTTTTTAATAAAGATTGTTAAACGTTTGGTAATATATGACATAATGGTCTGAGTTTTTACATCATGTAATGACGTTAATGTCCTCAGTATGAATATATATTGCATGTTTTTCCTGATGAGGAAGATTGGTATTGTATCTTATACGTTAGTCCAGTCAGTGCATTGAGGCACGAGGCACACACAGTGCAATGAGAGCTCTTATCATTCCATGACATGTCACCTTCCTGTGTGCTTTGGTTATGAACCTCATTATAAGTAGCCTCGAAACCTACACCCTGAAATTTGATTAAAAGTTATTTAAGGCGTGCTGTGTGCGTGTGTGTGTGCGTGTGTGTGCGCACAGAGGCATTTTTCATAAGAGGGATGATATCATACTCACCGTAAGACTCCCACAGGAACAGGGCAATGCATCATTTCCCCCCTTTTTATATCTCTGCAGGTTTTCACATCTTCTCTGTTGGTTTCCTCCGGCTTCCTTTATCGGTCGTTTTATGTTTTGGGCCAATATAGGCAGTAGTTTGCTTTTGATTGCACTCTTGTTGATTTATTGTTCTAGTTTAATTACAGCACAACAGTTGGAGTACCTTAATGTGCATTTGCAGAGGCATTAGGCTTGATCCCCTCTAACAGTGTGTAGAATGAAAAACAAAAAATTGAGAAGGAAAAGCAAAGAAATAATGGCATTAGATGCAGAAAAATATAGATTACCACCCTGAATATAATCTACTCTACACTGAATTTTTTATTTTCCATTGCATTGGGAGATGTCCTTGATTTTCCTTGAATTAACTCGCATGTCATTCCAGACTGATATGAAGCAATTATAAAAGATTTATGTTCTTGGCAGTGCTCACTGTGAAATTTATGATTTTTGTTTGAAAACACACTAACTGTGCATAATTGGGGAAATTAAAAATGCAGTAAAGAGCACATGCTACTGTAGCCCAAATCCTTTAGATTATATGGTAGTCTTCCTCCATAAATGAAAAATACTGCTGTTAAACCACGATACCTTCAGCGATTCTTCACATTTATAACTCCGTGTATTGTAGCGCCGGGGCTCCTACTGCAGCAGTCATGGATGTTTGGATGGAAGCCATCCTGACAAGCTGTTGGAGCCACTGAAAGAGCCTGCGATTGTCTGATACATGTGGATTATATTTCCCCTCAGCCTGACTGTTTTTATTCCACTTCACTGAGGTTGCCCGTGATCATTAGCAATCTTTCCACTCATGTCTCACATAA